TTATGAAAGATATGATAGTTTGAGTATGTGGTTCAAGTGAAAACTATTATTTTATGTTTATCCACAGTATTCTCAGTTTTCTCCAACACCAAAGTTCAAACACACCATATTCTGTTTCTTTGAAAACCAATGTTTGTTCCATAGAGCATCACAGGGAAAATGATTGCTCACACAATTCTGATCTTTGTAAGTATGGACACGTCATCTTACCTGAGTATCGTTTCCAAGGACTTCTTTGCTATTCTACAAGTGCTAGTCTGTGGTGTATTTCTTGACTGATGGTTCTTTTATTGTTGATAATGGATCCGAAACAGAAGTTACCTACTGTTTTAATACCTTTATTGTCAATTCTAAGGCTGCTTGCTATACCTGCACTCATTAATTTGAACTTCTTATTGTTTAATTGTAGCCCATATTTACACTATGCTCCTTGATTTTCATTACTAGAACTTGCAGGTTATTTGCACTTTTAGCTGTCAGAATAGTACAATCAGCATACTGCATGTTTTTTATATTTCTTCCTCATATTTTAAAATCATAATCTTTTTCCAATCCACCTTTCCTCAGTATATATTTATCATATAGGTTGAAAAAATAAGGCAAGAAGAAAGTATATAGCTGGGTGACTTTAAGCCAGCCACTTTCTTTCAGCCACCCCACAGAATTGAGGCCAACCAACCTCACAACATTGTTGTTGTGAAGAAAAGAGGAGGAAGGTGTGATGGATGTGTCTACCACCTTGAGTTATTTGTAAAAATAACAAAGATAGGATATAAATAAACAAAATAATAAAGTTATAATAATGTTTCTTATTCTTCTTTAGCTTTTTCTAAAGCCAGCTTGAACATTTGATGTCTTCCTTTCCATGTAGGGCTCTAATCTGTCTTGGATGGTTGTATTTGCCAATATATAAAGTTAAGAATATTGTACAATAATTTGCATACTTGTCAAGACTGCTTTCTTTGGTACTGATATGTCGACTAATTTTCTTCCAATCTCAGGACACTGTCAGTTTGTTAACATATTTTGGGACTATTAGTTTTTCATCTGTTGTTGCCTGCTGTTTTGCTAAAGATATTCCTTCAGTTCCTTATCTTTCCAATTAATCTAACTCATTTTCTAATACCAAAGTTTCCTATAAATAGGGAATATATTGTAAAATATGTTGGAATTTGACATCTCTACTGGATAATATTTCAGAATAGTTTTTCCAATTTTGCTTCAACTTTAAATTAATTACTTTTTTGGCAGCTTTTAGCATATCAATTTGACGGTGGAGCCTTCTGAGTTTGGAGATCTTTTGGAAGACTTTCCTTGTTTTTCAAAGTCAGATTGTCTATTCAATGTGTTTATAGATTTCATTGTAACACTACTTCATGTCTCTTCTAACAGCTCTGAAAAATTCTTTGATAATTTCCTTCCTAAGATCTTTATATTTCTTGACATCAACTTTTATTCTCTTGTCAATTTCCACTATTTGTTCTGATACAAAAGTTTGCTTTTTCTATTTCTAGATCTCTAGCAGTTATTTTTCACAATCATCTTTAACAATTTCTTTAACTTCATTCCACACTTTTTCTGGTTTTCTGTCAATAAAGTTCAGGAGTTCAGAGCAAGTATTTTGTGATTTGTTCCACAAGCAGCCCCTGGCAACATCTTTGCTGTTATAACAGCAACAGAGTGGTCAATGTCTGGAATACTCTACCTCACTCTGCGGTTTCTTCCCCAAACCCCAAAAACTTTAACCTTAGACTATCTACTATTGACCTCACCCCTTTCCTAAGAGGTCTGTAGGGGGCGTGCATAAGCGCACCAACATGCCTACCATCCCTGTCCTATTGTTTCTTTTTATTTTTCTTATATGTATCCATTTCATGCATTCATAACTATGTTTATACTTATACCTGTTATCTTATAATCACTTGACAAAATAAATAAATAAAATAAAATAAAATAAAATAACTGAGCTCTTCCACCTCCTTGCACTTATAATATGGTCAATTTGATTTCTGGGTAGTCTGTTAAATGATGGTCATATATAAAGTTATTGTTTTGGTGGTGGGAAGGCTTTGTTAGCAAATGAACATTTCATAGGATTGCCTATGATATCAATGTGTGGCTGATTCACTTCACCTTTCATTGTATTGAGCTTCTCTGTATTCATGCTTCGTAAGTTTTCTGATCCCTGTAATTCTAACTTTGCAGCTTTGGATTTTGATTTCCTGCATGGCAACCTCAGCAACTAGAAGTTTTAGCCTATTGGCATCATAAACCTCATTTAGTACTCCAAAAGCTCCTTAGCTCCTTTTCTCAGTAGTATATTGAGTGCCATCTGACCCAAAGGTCCCATCATCTGGCATTATATCATTGATCATTTTATATTTTCTATCTATGTGATTTTCTTGGTAAAAGGCAACGGTAGTTTAGCAATCCTTTCTCTTACACAATATGAAATGTTCTCTTTGTTATTAGTGCTCCTATTTACTAAAATGATTACCCACTTCCAGAAAGTTCTTCTTGTGCTGCTGTCCAACATAGTTGCCTGCTTGCTCTAGATCAATGGGATGATCTTACTGCCCTGGTTGGTCTTGCTGGTATTATATATTCTTGGTATCCTTCTAGCATTTTTTGCTCATCTTTCCCAGAATAGTCTTTTTTGGAATTGGCAGAGCAGGATTAGACAGATTGAAGCAAAAGGCAAATTAGAGGTTCCACAACTTCCATTTCAATGTAAAGAACCTACTAACATTTCACTACTCGTGATGCAACAGCTTCCTCCATTAGTGCTGAGAATTCTAAACTAGATTAACAGAAAGTGATAGGCTACTTTCATTGCTGTCTTCAGGCAGCACAAAGTGGAAATGACTGGGTGAGGCCACTGCTGTTTCTCACTTGACATTCATACTCAACATCTACATCTGATGCAGCTATCTCAGCCTGACTAATGGTAGAGCTGACCCAGTGGCCCATCTTTCATTTGCATCTTTTCCTATTGCCTGTCAAGATCCTACCGAATTGTTGCTAGGTTCAAAACTCTTCCTCAAACACAGTTACCAGTAGGAAAAGGTGTTAAAAAAATAATGGACAGAACAGATCCCCGCATGAGTCTTAGAGCTTATTCACAAGTGAAACTAAAAACACCTTGGAGTGTTTGGAATGTGTCTCTTGTGAAGGCTACTAATGCCAGTTAGCAAATAGGAAGAAAGTAATTTTCCAGCCATTTCTTCTTCCGTCCCTTCTCAGAAACTGTATCTACAAGAGATCCAAAGTAATTACAGAGGTGAACCTGAAGACGACAGTTGAATTTCAACTAGCAACTCCATATTTTTCAGTACAGGACATATTATTTATCCTTCCCTGTCTCTCCTTAAGCTGCTGGTAAAATATAGGTGGTCCTCAATTTATAACCAGAATTTGGACCAGAATTTCTGTTGCTAAATAAGGTGGATCTTAATCATGTGATCAGGGAATCATGGCAGATTTTATGATTTTTTTTGCTATGGTTGTTAAATGAATCACTGCAGTTGTTAAGTGAATCATGTGGTTATTAAACGAATCTGTCAATGGTGAAAAAAATAAGGCTCTATATTTATGCAAGAAAAACCAAATTCCCAGGTATAGTATAAGTGGTACCTGGCTCAATAGTAATAACTGTGAGAGGGATCTATGAGCCAGCAGTGTGCTGCAGCTGCCAAAAGAGACAATGCAGCCCTAGGGCACATTAACAGAGGAGTAGAATCAAGATCACATGAAGTGTTAATATCGCTGTATAATGCCTTGGCAAGACCACATTTGGAATACTGCACCCAGTTTTGGTCACCTCAATGTAAAAAAGAAGTTGAGACTCTAGAAAGAGTACAGAGAAGACCAACAAAGATGATTAGGAGACTGGAGGCTAAAATATTGCTGCAATTGGGTACATCTAGTAACAATGAAAAGAAGGACTAGGGGTGACATGGTAGCAGTGTTCCAATATTTAAAGGGTTGCCACAAAGAAGAGGGGGTCAGCCTATTCTCCAAAGCACCTAAAAGCAGAACAAGAGGTAATGAATGGAAACTAATTAAGGAGAGAAGTAACCTACAACTAAGGAGAAATTTCCTGACAGAACAATTAATCAGTAGAACAACTTTCCTCTAAAAGTTGTGGGTGTTCCAACACTAGAAGTTTTAAGAACAGATGTCTGTAATGGTATAGAGTTTCTGGCCTGAGCAGGGGGTTGGTCTAGAAGACCTCCAAAGTCCCTTCCAAATGTTATTCTGTTATTCTGTGATTTCCTCTTTTGACTGCTTGTCAGAAGCCAGTGGGGAAGGTCAAAAATGTTGATCACATTATCCTCTGAAGATATAATTGTCATAAATACATGTCTGTTGACAAGCACCTGAATTTTGATCACATAACAGTGGGGATGCTGCAACAATTATTTAAGTACGAGGACTGATCATAAGACATTTTTTCAGTGTCATTGTAACTTTGAATGGTGGCTAAATAAAAGGTTGTAGGTTGAGGATTATCTGTATGATACTTGAGAATTATCTGTACAATACCTAACTCATGACTTACGATAGAGCCATTTTTAGCAATTAGTATTTGGAAAAAATGTGTTTATGTGTTTCAGAAAGAGAAATGGTACTTTTCATTTATGGCAAGTGTGGCATATGTACTATGGCTTTTCTGAGAAAATATTCTTATTGGTCGAGCAGATATGCTCCTGTAAGAAGATGACCAAGTATGGTTTTATTGGTCCAACAGTGCCCTTATTTCTATTACCACCATTTTACCTTCCTAATTTGGTCAAACCAATTCAATAGGGTTTCACAAAAATATGTACCAAAAACTCCATGTGAGTCTTGAGTTTAGGAGTCTACGTAACTCTACCCTAAATCTAAATGTACTTTATAACTACATGCTATCTCCAGGATTGTGCTGCTAAGTTTTGATGTGTTGTTACATGTATATTTCCATTTTTCTAATAAACTTCTCTTTTCCCAATCTCTTTCAGTTAAAACCGTAAGGGGAAAAAACCCAACATTACAAGCAAAAGAAGAAATGAATCATTTATGGAAGAGAAAAAGCCAAACTTCTGATTAGAGAGGGGAACTAATACGGCTCCTTCCATTATGAACTCTTCAGCTGAGGAAGCTTCTTACCTTTAGCATAGAACTACCTGCAGTAACCACAGAGATTCTTAAAGGAGTCAGTGTGGCAAGGGAGTGGCTGTTTCCACTTGCCTTCATGTTGAATGCCAGATGTGCCCTATGAAAGCATTTACTTTGAATGGAAGTTGCACTTGCCCATTGAAAATGAGACACTTCCAATTGAACTTGCTTCTCATCTGTGTGGCAACCACCACTGCAATTCTTGTTGTGCCATGGAAAGTCAAATGTCCATTGCAATGTGTCTGCCAGATCAGACCATGGTATACCCCCAGATCTGTGTACAGAGAAGCCGCCACAGTTGACTGCAATGATTTGTTTATCTCCACAGTGCCTGAAAGATTGCCAGAGGGGACACAGATTCTTCTCTTGCAAAGCAACAATATTGTCAAGGTCGAGCAGAGTGAACTGGACTATCTGAAAAACCTGACAGAGCTAGATTTATCACAGAACAGTTTCTCAGACATTTGGGACTTTGGCCTGAAGAATATGCCTCACTTGCTGAGTCTGCACTTGGAAGAAAACCAACTGGCTGAACTTCCTGATAACAGCTTCTCAAGCCTGGCTAATCTTCAGGAACTTTATCTTAATCACAATCAAATACGCAGGATTTCTCCCCAAGCCTTCTTAGGTCTTGGAAATCTCCTTCGACTCCATCTCAACTCCAACTTCTTAAGGACAATTGACAGTCGCTGGTTCCAAGTACTACCCAGTCTGGAGATCCTAATGATTGGTGGCAACAAAGTAGATGTCATTCTGGATATGAACTTCAGGGCTTTATCAAACTTGAGAAGCTTGGTTCTGGCTGGAATGAACCTGAGAGAGATTTCAGATTATGCTCTTGTAGGCTTAAAAAATCTGGAGAGTCTGTCTTTCTATGATAACAACCTGATCAGTGTTCCCAAGCGAGCCTTACAGCAAGTTCCTGGACTTAAGTTCTTGGATCTGAACAAAAATCCACTTCAGAGGATTAAACAGAGTGACTTCACAAACATGCTACACCTCAAGGAACTGGGACTCAACAATATGGAAGAGCTGGTTTCTATTGACAAATTTGCCCTGATCAACTTGCCTGAACTAACAAAACTGGATGTGACCAACAACCCTAAACTATCCTATATCCATCCCAGTGCTTTCCATCATCTCCCCCAGATGGAAACTCTCATGCTCAACAACAATGCTCTAAGTGCTTTGCATAAGCAAACACTAGAGTCCCTCCCCAGTCTGCAAGAGATAAGCATCCACAGCAATCCCCTCCACTGTGATTGTGTCATCCGCTGGGTCAATAGTACTGAGAACCATATACGCTTCATTGAGCCTCAATCCACATTATGTGCTGAACCTCCAGACCTAAAGAGAAAACATATACGTGATGTCCCCTTCAGAGAAATGACTGACAGATGCTTACCCCTCATCTCTGACAAAAGCTTCCCTTCTCATTTAGATGTGGTAGACGGAGAAGACATCTCTCTTCATTGCAGGGCTTTAGCAGAACCAGAACCAGAGATCTACTGGGTCACACCATCAGGTCTTAAGCTATTGCCATTCTCAGAAGATGGAAAGTATAAAGTGGACTCTGAGGGGACAATGGAGATTCACAAGGTCACAATACAAGAGGCAGGCCTCTATACATGCATGGCTCAAAATCTCATAGGTGCTGACACCAGAAGTATCAGTCTAATAGTCAACAGTTCTTTTCCCTTTAGTAAAGACATGTTAGAGCTGATAATTGAGGAAGTCCAGACTTACAATATCCTGGTTTCATGGAAACCTCATCTCAATACCATTTCATCTAATCTCACTTGGTCCAGTTTCAACCCCAGCTTGGACTTAACAAATGTAGCCCGTATTCCAATAGGTACCCACATGTATAACATCACAAGATTGCACCATGATACAGAATATTGGGCCTGTCTTCATATAGCATTTGCAAATTTGCAGACCAAGGTTGCCTGTGTCAATGCCAGGACTAAAGAGGCTCAATACCAATACTTGGAAAGCAGGCAGGGTGCCCTGATGATATTGTTCCTCTGCATATTGGTGCTGTCTATAAGCCTCATAGGCAACTATGGTTTCAGTTCTTTCAAATTTCAGTCTAGGAGCCAGGGAATCTGCATGCCATGGAAAACAGCCTCATCTTCAGTTCATGTAGTATATCCAACTTTTATCAAACAGTGGGATCAAGGGAGAAAGGGTGAGAGACTCCTAGCCATGGAGGTACAAGCAACATCGTTGGACTCGTGAAGGTTGCAGGTTTTTTTTCTCTGCAAGAAGGGTGGATAAATACATCTGGTGAATTTCTTTAAAAATTACCAAATACAGATAAAAAGGGAAAAATACTGAAGTATGAAAACCATGAATATGGAAGATGGATAGGAAAAGTTGTCCCTTTTCCAGCCAAACCATGAGTTTGCTTGGCCAAACATAGTATCTCTTAATCCAAGATAAAGAATCTATTTTTACTGAAAGAAAAGTTGCTGAAAAGACAGGCAGACAACCTGAGTTGGAAAGCATCAAGCTTGAAATTCCAAAACACCTCTGCCTCTTCCAGGCAGCTATGACTTCTCTGGCAGCCTGATACCAATATACTTTGTGCTGAGCACATGTCTGCTCCCCTGGAAATACAAAAAGGCCTTTTCCTTTGGGGATACCTTTCTTTCTGTGTGGATGTGTATCATCACAGAGAATCTTGACCAAATCCAACAAATCTTTTGTGACCTGAAGAATTTGCCTCCTGCAGTACTTTCCCAAGGAAGCAAATGTGATATGAAGAGAGGCAACTTTCTCCGGCTTGAGAATCAGGAAAAATGATTACGTAGAAGGGTGGGGGTATGTGTGAAAATTTGTATCAATTAACAATGTCAATTAGCCAATATGAACTGCATTTCAATTCAAGAACTTAATTTCAATATTATTTTGTAAACTTTTGTGAATAAGATTGAAAACAAAAGGAAGAGGGGGTGAAGATTTTTTTTTGTAATATATATATATATATATATAAATGTAAATAGGGAGGAAGTGGGGAGGGGGCCCTTTATATACCAATCTATCATATGGAAAAGGTTTTATGTTAGATCAACATTGCTTCAGCTATAGGGTGGGCTATAGGAATGATAAGGAGGGGAGGGAATAATAGTTGATGTAAGATTGATTTCAAAGAATGAAAATATCCTTGTTTTAAAGTGGTTGATTTCCATACGGCATAGCTGAAAACATCTCAGAAGAAGACACAGGCTGAGTGGTTGATAAAAAGGGGGAGGATGAATATTCCCTTTTCTAGCTCTGTCATCATTTCTTTGTCTCTGATAAGCCAATTAAAATTGCAAATAAAATATTTCTGTAGTTGTGTGCTCTTCCTAGATAACCCAAATCCAGCCATGATTCATGACAGCAGGGAAGGAGGGTCATAAGGGACTTCTGCTGTTGAGTGATCTGGGATAGGGTGGCCTAGCTTCCGCTTGCAAAGATCTGTGTACCTCCACCCTGCAAAGTGTGGTGTGTGATTCCTTTAGTCCTTCGGAACATTATTACTAAATCGTTACTTTCGATCTGATGAATGAAGGCATTCTTAAATATGCATAAAATAATCCTATTAGTTACATTAATTACATTTTAGCTACATTAATTACATTTTAATCAAATTTAGGTTTGGTTCTTGCTTCAGTCGTCTTTTGGAGAATAGGTCCAATATATCATTCAACACTCAAATAGAATCCTATTCTGAAAAGTCATGCACTCCTAACTTATACCGAGGGAAGCTCTGCATGTGCCAGTAAGAAAGAGGGTCAGAGAACATCGGCAGCAGGAGGAGCAGAGTTATTATGGTTGATTGATTTCACAATTAGCAGATGTTTAGACCAGATTTGACATTTTTATGTACCTGTCAAGTCCTTCCCAAAGACCCGGGATAGGCAGATGTTGTTGTGTAATGATGTTAGAGGTATTTATGTATTATTTATTAAACAAATTTATATAACCACACAACTCACACTTAGGTAAGTCCAGGTGGTATACATTTTTTTTTAAATGTCTTTGCTGGACTTTATTTTCAACAACAGATCATTATTTAGTTTTCAGATTTTTGTGTATTTGACATGAGAAGTATTTGAGAAAACAACTTTTCTTCAGGATTTCTGGCCCTGGTTGCTTAGCCAACAAATAGTCCTGAGTTCATCATCAGATGTCCAGGAACTCCAACATTATCAGTATCAACATCAGCACCAGCAGCACAAAATGTGAAATCACAGCTGCCAGTTCTTTAGCTGATGTTGGCCTTCATATCAAGTTATTCCCAAGAACTCAGGATGTCATACTCTATTGGTATATGTGCGGATCTAAACCTTTTGTAATTGACAGAAGGAAATGTTGTCAGTGCGCCTGTTTTCTCAATACCATCCAAGATTTTTTTGCTACGGCACTCATAGATAATATATATGATATAATATGTAATATATAATTGCACATGCACAAATATGTGTGTGTGGTGTAATTATATGTAATTTTACACACACACACAAATGGGTATGTGGGTTGTATCCAATATATATGTATTGGGTGATACCCAATAGTGGGGCAGCTTACAAATGGATAGAAAATTTAGCACAACAAAAAACAAAAGAAAAAGAATCAACCGTGGCAAAGACAACAGCAAAAACAACAAAAATTGCCAGATGGAAGCAAACAAGAAAAGGGCCTTCATTCATGATCACCCAAGAAGAGCCAGGTTTTCAGGACCCTTTGAAACACCAGTAAGAGTATATTTTGCTCACACTGTGTCAAAAAGCTGCAGAGCTTCCAGCAAATCAGGTGCAATCTCAGAACCATGGCTGCCCACTGATTTTGCTAGTCAGCATATGTTGCCACTAATTTGTGTGTTGACACACTTATAATTTTTAGGATAAATACCAAAGAACAAAACACCACAGGAGATGCCAGGATGGCAATAGACTTTTAAGAAAGTTTTAGAAAATGTTCCTGTATATGTTCAAATCACCAGGGGCCCTTCCTTAATCTTCTGCAATGAATCCACATAGCAAGGATGGTCTCCAGAATTCAACTGACAAGGAAGTCAATTTTGTGAGGCAGCTCCATTTTTTTCACCGTCCTCCACCTTTTGGACTGCTCACCTTGGATTGAAGGTAATTAATTAATTCACCATGGGCGAATAGACAGCAATATAAATTAAATAAATAAATAAACAAGAAGGGAAATAATGTCTGTATTTACATTCATTGGAGAGGAAGGGTTTACAAGCAAATAAGCACTCAACAGCAAATGCACATTGAAAGGAATGCAATAGCGCAAGCTATTTGCAGATTAGAGTCCACCATAGAGTCAAGCCTGCACGTCAGTCCAAGCCACCAACTGCTCAGGAGGCAAAAAGCATCAGCTATTAATGTATTAGGGATTTTGACAGTTTTAGGCAGCAGCAAAAGTTATGCCAGAGGATACTAATTAACTAATTAAGGTCACAGAACAGAGCTTGTTAACTTGTGGGTATCACTAATTAAGGAAATACCAGGCTACAGACAAAAGCTACTCAGGAAGAGATAGGTTGTTTAAGCAATCTGTCCATTTTGAGGGTGGGGGAGGGAGATCAGGTGGCACAGGATGGCATTGCAAGTCATAAACCAAAGTTGCACAGACAAAACTCTTTGATTGGTAATGGGGTTTCCCAGAGTCTACAAGTCAGAACACAAAAGCCAGTCCTCCTGGATTCACCAACAGCCTCTTCCTACACTTCCATTTTTAGAAGATCCTGACTAAGACTCCTTCAGATCATGCCTAGATCCTTATCTATTCACTTGGTCCTGCCTTTTACCACATTTTCACCAGCACCTACAAGAAGAGGATAATCTAAAGTCTGATTATTCCTGCCATTACTCGACATTCAAGAGAGTGAAGCTAAAGAGAAGCAGCAGCAACAGAACTTTTGAGTTTGGCATGTATTGAGTTTTGTATGTGACTAATGATATTTAGAATAGAGTAGAGTAGAGTAGAGTAGAGTAGAATAGAATAGAATAGAATAGAAAATAATAGAATAGAATAGAATAGAATAGAATAGAATAGAATAGAATAGAATAGAATAGAATAGAATAGAATAGAATAGAATAGAATAACAGAGTTGGAAGGGACCTTGGAGGTCTTCAAGTCCAACCCCCTACTTAGGCAAGAAAGCCTACACCACTTCAGACAAATTGAGATTTCTCTCAGCACCTTCCTCTGTGAGAGTGCAAAACTAATATTTGTATAGCATTTTAAGGAAGGCATGTTTAAAACACTGTCCTGTGATGTAGAGCTGGGGATGGAAACAGTGTGATTGTCATTCCATTTAATGTGCATCCAAGACTGCAACTCTATTACCCCTTAAGCAACACAGGGACACTTAGATGTGACCCTGCCGCTACAGGCTTTGCTTTTCTTCAGAGCTAATAAGATGCAGGAAACAGCATAGTCCCAAGCTAGCTATGCTGAAGCCAAATCTATTAAAATGCCCTTGTTATTTCTGCCTACCCACATCTAAACTCTTCTTTCTTTAACTTCTTGTCATCCTATTGAATTATCCAACAAGGTTTATGGGTAGCCCTTACTGCATAGCCTTCCAATGGGAACAGAATATTGCAATATGTGGCATTTAAAAAACAGTTGGTATGGGATACAACAAATATGTGTGTTTTCTTTTTCTTTTTGGAACATGAAAGGCTCCTGCTTGTTATTCCAATGACTGAGCCTTATCCTCTTTCCTCAAGACTTTTCCCAAGCCATTTTATGCCTCCATCTCCCTCAGCCATCATCTTCTGGAGCATACTGGAGCAAACACTTTAAGGAAGTGTTTTTCAAACTTGGCAACTTTTAAGATGTGGGGACTTCCACTCCCAGAATTCCCCTGCCAACTGAAGTCCACGCAGCTTAAAAGTTGCCAAGTTGAAAAACACAACTTTAAAATATTAGATGCCCTTAAAGCATGTTTGTCAAACTCGTGGCATCACATTGCCATCACATGACATTTTGCAATGTTTCCCTTTGTGGAGCTGGGGTGGGCAGGGCCTGCACGTGAGGCATCCAGCCAGGGGTGGGATTCAAATTTTTTAATAACCTGTTCTGTGGGCATGGCTTAGTTGGTGGGCGTGGCTTAGTGGTCATGTGACTGGCTTGGTTCTGGTCAACTCAACATCATTCACATCGAGGCACGCATCTCCTTGCCTGGCCTCTCCTGACTGTGGGGATGCTGCAAACAGCCGTAAGTGTGAAATATGGTCATGTCACTTTTTTCAGTGCCATTGTAACTTTGAATGGTCACTCCACACAAGCAAAGTACCAGCAAAGGAGGGGGGAAAAACTCCAGAGAAGTTCCTGTGACAGGAAGTCTAGTCCTGCCAAGAATGTAATAAAGGTTAATGGAGAGGCAGTTTCTGTAAGCAACACCAGCATGTTTCCTTCCTGCCTTCCTTACAGGATTAGGACAGTAATTTCTTCTAACAACCGGTTCTCCGAACTGCTTAGAATGTTAACCGATTCTAGCAAATAGGTGCGAACTGGTAGAATCCCACCCCTGTATCCAGCCCTTGGGCCACCAGTTTGACACCCCTGCCTTAGAGCATCTCTCTAAAAAGAAATTCCCAATTTTTTTAAAAAAATACAATTATTTCATGCCTTAGATTTTCCAAGTTCACTGATACTCTTCCTAATTCATTAGTATAGTTAGGCTCTGAAACAGACAGCAGTGAGAAGTTGAACACTGGGAATATAGCAGGGCGGATGAAGGGAACAAAACAGACAAGAATTCATATAGAAAGTGTAATTAAGTAATTTAATCATCCCTGGGGGAATGGTAAGAGTTGTGGCCTGACAGCCACCCTTCTAGCAACTGAATCAGAGGGGGAGGAGGAGGAGGCGACACTGGAATCAGGTTCAGCATCAGGAAAAACTGGGGGCTCCAAGAGGGAAGAGGGAATGGAACTGGCAGAGAGAGAGACAGAGGCAGAGCCTGGCCCGTCCATCAGCCCTCAGATGGAGAGTCCCCAGGTCTGAAGGTGGTTAATGAAGAAGAGGAGGAACAGGTGGGTCCAGTTCCTGACATGCAGCTGCACAGAAGGCAAAGACAAGGAGAGCAGTGGACAGCCATGGACCGATCCTGGAGAAGGAAGACCCACCGCTGCTAGCAAGGCCCAACCCTAGCTCTGGGAATAAAAGGCAGGGGGCAGAGATGAATAGGTGTGGCAGACAACTATTCATCTTCCAGACGGACTGACTTGTTAACCAGCGAGAGAAACTTTTTGCCAAGGCTGTTGGCATTCCTAATAAAGG